CCGGGCCCGCCCCCTCGGGGCTCCGGGACGCGCAGCGCCCCCTGCCGGCGGCCGAGAGGGGAGTTGGGGCAGCCTGGAGCCAGGACGCGCGCAGATGGGCCGAGGCGGTGCGTTCAGACCACGTGGACGCCGAGTGCGCGAAAAGGTCCGTGTCCCCGTGGGCGTCCCCCGTGCGCGGGCGTCCCAGTCGCTAGTGGGGGGGTGTCCGTCCCCACCAGGCTGGTTCTACGTTGTCCAACTTTTCCTTCATCTGTTCATCCAACAATTTTGGAAGTGCCAGGCAGGCACTTGCAAAAATGAGGTTTCACCCTTCTGAATGATCAAAATGAAAATTGTGAAGTTCACCAAGCGTGGACAAAAGAGCAGAACAACTGGGCCTCTCGTGTTTCTGGGAGAGTGCAAAACTGGCCGTTTCTTCTAATGAAGCTGAACATAACACCCACCACTTACAGCAACACCCAGCAGCCGATAAGAGGAGTCATTACTGAAATGCTGATAGCACTGTGCTTAATATTGGCAACGAAATCACCTGTCATCAGCAGAGTGGAAAATTGTCACAAGGAGAGTGATGTTCTGGTTCACCCAACAACGGGGCACTTTCATGAAAGAATGTAGTGCAGTAGTCTACTCTATGATTCATATGAGGTTCAAAAACAGAAGTCAGGGTAGTAGTCACTCCTGGGACTGGGCGGGACCACGAGGGGCTCTGGGAACTGGTCATGCTGTTTCTTAATCTGGGTTCTGGTTCCCTGGACATATTCACTTTGAAAATCCATCAGCTGTCACTGAGGATATGTACACTTTCCCTGGGCATATTATACTTAGATTACGTTTACTTAAGATGAGTTTGTCTTGGCTGATTTTTTCTAAGGCTGTTTGCCAGCATATGTGACACGTCTAAATTTGTGTTGCTGAATGGTGTGTTTCAAGGGTGTGACTATTGTGTCTGTGTTGTGGTGTGACTATGTCCGCAGGGGTGGAGGTATAAGAAGATGGTTATGACAGCATTTCTCAAGCCAAACTGCTGGGAGGAAAATCCCAACACTGCTTGTCAGAGTGACCTTGGATAAATCACTTCTACCTTGGAAGTGAGCTGATAAACACATTATGTATATGCCCATTGTATATAGCTCTTAGAAAGTAAGTGCACATAGTAAACACCCAGTATAAATATACACTGTTCTAGGTGTGTAAATGTGGTTCCCACCAAAGTCTGGATTCAGTTGTGCCTGCCCCCTGCCAGCCAATTCCTTTGTCCCTTTATTCTGGCAGATGTCTGCTCATGGCAGTATCCTCACAGACACACAAAGCTGGCCAGTCCCTGTGTCACAAACCCCATCCATTAATTACCTGCTAGGGTCTATGGCTGCTCTGTCCCCCATCAGACATGAGTTCCTCAGGGGCTCAGAAAAGAAACACAGATTTTCTCTGAGTCTGAGCGGCAGGGACAGAGGATGTACTTGGAGACCATTTGTCAGGATAACAAGGTGTACGGACCTTGTTGCATTTGTCTGCACTGGGTTAGTGGGGTTAACACGTGGGGAGGACACCCCGTCCTTGCCTCTGGTTTGTTCTTATGTGAGAATGAAGGCTCTGAGTGAACCTGTGTGTCTCCTATGGGTCCTGGTTAGATGAGGTGAGATGGCTGTAACAAGAGAGTGAGAACAGTAGGAACTTAAAGTAGGAGAGGAGGTGTTTGCCTGGGCAGGTGTGCCCCAAGCCTGAGGGCCTCCCAGAGGGTCTCTCTCCAACCACTTCCTTTCCAAGAGGGAGGGGCCAGTACATTCCTGTCTTATCAGCTCCACCCTTTTCTATTCCCTTAACTTTCTCCCCAAAGGAGCCAGGGCACCAAGCCTTGCACTAGGCGTAAGGATGAACCTCCTCCTCCTCTGGGAGGGTCTCAGGGTTGCCTCCCGGACCCCTGGCACCCCCAGCCTCAGGGTCCTAGTCTTCGGTGCAGACAACCTGCTGCTCCTTTCAGGCCCCTTCCCGCACTAGGCAGTGCAGGCAAGGAGCTGAGCTCAGGGCCAAGGAATCCTGCCTGGGGCGGAGGTGGGGGGAAAATTGTTTGGGGTCTGGGCCCTGATTGGCTGCGCTCGGGCCACGCCCCTACCCCTTTCCCCATTCTCCCCCCCCCCACCTCGGAAGGGGGGCGTGGAGGCCAGCGGGAGAAGCCAGGGGCCAGCATGAGCCGGAGGGAGGGAAACCTGGGTAAGGGGCCGAAGGGCTGGATGACGAGTGCCCGAGGGGAGCAGGGGTCAGAACGGCTGAAAGCTGGGGTTCCCCGCTACTCCCGGTCCGGGAGGGGAGAGGCCTGAGCGGGAGAAAGCAGGACCCGGGTGTCAGGTAACGAGCGGGTGAACTGTGGGAAGGAGCAAGCGTCAGAGTACAGAAGCCTGGGGCTGTGTCTTCAGGGACTTGGGCTCAGGGTTTAGATCACCGGGTACACCCTGTTCCAGTACACCCTGGGGGAGGACTGTAAGACTGGCCCGGGCAGGACGCCTGGATTCTCAGTATGGAGGAAGAACTAGAGCTGGGGGCCAGTGGGAAAGGTAGTGTAAGGGGAGGAAGCCTCTGGGTCACAGGAGCTAGTGAGTTACAACAGGAGGTGAAAGTCGTGGCTGCTAAGGATAGGGACTAGCAGTGGAAACTCAGGCGGGGGCGGGGCGGGAGCTGCCTCGCCAGGACTACATTCCCCAGCATGCCTTGGGTGCGCGTTAGGCAGCTCGGGAAATGTAGTCCGTTGGAGCGCCACCTTCAAACGTGCTAAGGAAGGTGCCAGCCTGATTTCGTTGATGCGGCGGCAATGAGACTCAGTCTCCTCTCTGAAGTTCTGTGCTTCAGTGATATTGAATTCCACCAACAATCATTGAGGTACAGAGATATGTGAGCCCTTCTCTGAAAGGGCCCCTAGGCTGAGGTCGATTCACACAACTAAAAAGGGCCATCAAATGAACTACTTTGGAATTATAAGTAAGGAAGAAGTTTATTTGAGAGGTGAACCAGGAGGCTGCACTGCGGGGACATTATTTTAATTTGGCATAACAGCATTTCAACAGTGATTTGGGGGCCGGAAGCATTTCAGGTAGGACAATCTTAGGCAAACATCCCATTTTCTCTCAGTTGGAAATGGGATAGAACCACCCTGGCTTAAGAGTTGGAGAATTCAGAACAGAATTTTGAAACCCAGCAAGAAATATCCAACCTGGAAGAAGTGACCAAGGAGCAGGGTTTGGGCTCCTCATTCCTTACCCCTTTTCCCACCAGAAGCCCTCCAGACTGACTCCTCAATTTCACCCCTTCCCCACCTGGAGGCCAAGATTCGTCAGACACACAGTCTTGCCCGCCTCCTCACCAAATATGCTGAGCAGCTGCTCCAGGAATATGTGAGTGGGGATGGGGATGGGGGTACAAAGGCCTGGGGAATGGGGATGTACAGATCACAGAGGTCCACCATTTTCTCAGCCTCACTTCCCAGCTGTGGAAATCAGAGTTATTGAGAGGGATTAGTAACATCCCTGATTACACAGCAAGTTGGAAGAGCACCTTCTTCATACCCCAGTTGTCTCCCAGCCCAACATCGGCCTCAGTTTGAAGGCTTTAAGACAGGGCAACCTGAGCAGATAAGAACTCTGATCTGAGATCAGGAAACCTAGGCTCTAGGCTCTGTGCGGTCTTGTCTCTTCACCTTCATGGGCCTTCATCTCCTCAGCTGTGAAAGGAGCCAGTTAAACAAGATAAGCTGTGAACTATTCTACTTGTGTTACTCAGAGCAGACAAAAATGAGTTTCAGTCTTGGGACTTTTACAGTGTGTGTGTGTGTGTGTGTGTGTGTGTGTGTGTGTTGGGGGAGGGTCTCCCAACATCTTGGGTCAGGCAGAGGACCCTGCTGAAGGAAAAAAGGTATTTCTCTACATGACTGATGTAGTGCAGAGCGACAGTTAACAGCTGGGCAGTGGACAGTGGGAAACTAAACTATCTTTGCCTTGTTTCAAATTCCAGTTTGGCCTCTTCCTAGATGGATGACCTAGGGCAAGACATGGGGCCTCTTCAGCCCCAGTATCCTCATTTACAAAATCACCATCTTCACTATCACACACATTCATGGGAAGATGAACAATAGTGTGGTAAAGCAGCAAGTACAATGCCAGAGCCAAGGTGTTGGCATAACGCCTTGGTATAAATGATACTGTAGCATTTCGACAAATTACACATCACCTTTATCTTTCATTGGCTTTGAGCTTCTCTTTCAAGTATGTTTTGCGCTCCGCCTGTGTGTACCAGGCCACAGTGGGGTAGGACGGTGGGAACCAGGTCTGGTCTCTGGTCCCTGTGCTATGCTGTCCCATGCGACTCTCAGGAAACCTGGCGGGAAGCAGGACAGGGAGCGCAGCTGGTAAGCCGAAGGATCGGAACCCTGGCCTGTAAGAGAGCATTAGTACAAGAGCTGACACGTGTGGGCCCCTCAGTGGGCCCGCAAGGCAGGCATTCAGCACGGCTGTAATTATTCTCATCAGAGATGAGGAGCCGGCACTGGTGTGGGGCCCGCGCTTTGTTCTTTTGCATTCCCCTCGGACAGCGGCTCTGTTAGGCAGGACCACGCGCGCGCCGGATGAGATGGGGCGGCCGAGCGCCTGGAGAGGCTGCAGGACTCGGGCCTAGTGCAGGGCGCCCCACTGACC